GGTACTTCTGTTATAGCAGCACTAGATGACTAAGACATGTACTGTATATTATGGTAGGTTGGATGCAAATGCTGCTGAAAATCTCAAGTAAGGTTACATGGAACACAGCGAAGAGAGCACAAAGTCTGGGGACAGAGGCCCTGGGTTTCAGTCCTAGCACCTCTATTAGGCAGCTACATATTCTTGAACAAGTCATTTAGTCTCTCTGAGACTCCATTTCTTCATCTGTAAAACAGGAATAAGATCATCTGCATTATTAGAAAACAATCAGTGCCCTAATCAAATATTACATAACATCTTTTAGTGTTTTTCCAGATCTGAGATTGTGGAAAGTGGAAAGAGAGAACAGATTTGTTGTTAAAATATTGAGAAATAATTTTTAAAATTTTGTTTTTTTTTTTTTGGCATCACTCTGCAATGAAGCCATTACAGTGAGTATGGATGTACTTAAGGCCTGAGATAAAAACACTTGGCAGTGTTCAGTGGAATAACATAATCTATTCTACTTGGGTGTTACAGTAGTAACTGTTCCTTTTTTCCTGGGGGGACATTCAATAAGAAACAAAAAATTAAGTGTTTTTTGTTTTGGTGATTTAGATCAGGCTGATTCCTAAGATCTTACCTGTAAAGGAGAACTGAAGTTCCTCAATGTCAGCACTATTGACAATTAGGGCTGGATAATACTCTGTTGTGGGGGCTGTTTTGTACAAGGTAGAATATTTGGCATCAGGCCTCTACCCACTAGATGCCAGTAGCAACCTCCCCCGACAAGTGTGACAATCAAAAATGTTTCCAGACATTGCCAAATGTCCCCTGGAAAGTAAAATCACCCCCAGTTAAGAACCACTGCTCTAGGCTATATTTTCTTTTGGTATTAATGAAGAATGCCAGATCTAGCCTCTAAAATATAAGGCTTCTTTAGTTGCCCTTTCTGTATGTTGCTCAAGACAGTTTTGGGTCTTCTGATCCAGCTTTATCTCCTAACTTTTTGTGCAAGTCATAGTTACTGGTTAAGCGACAAGATCCAATTCCAAAGTTCTCATTTCCCAGTCCCATTATCTCAAGCAAAATACTCGGTGTATATGGAGTACATACATAATTGATGATTTTCAACTTTCCTCAAGTTTCTCGACCTCCTAGGGATTATTTTATCAAAATGCCTCCCTTCTCGAAGGTGATATATAATATAAAGCAAATTAAAGTTAATTGCATTTGGAACTTAAAAATACTGTAAAAAAACCTAGAGTTGTTCTGAGGTACTACAAAGCCAGAGTTAGACTCATCAGTTTGAATGCTATTCAAAAGGCTGAATTTCTACCCTGTAGTTAAGAATGAGAATTATTGGCCATCAAAGGAACAAACAGCATTGTTCAACTTTTGGAATAACAAACAAAGGAAACTTCATCTCAGGAAATCAACCCCTAAAACTGGGCAGCTGCCTGGCCAGATTCATACTCACACTTTAAATTACTCGCTCTGGTTGATTCTTCTTTTACAGCAAACACGTTGGTCAC